AGTTTGTTGTTGTGTATTCCAGGAAGTGTGGAAATACATTTTCTTTTTGTGTGTTCACTTTTGGGATGATTATATTTTCTGTTTATATGCTATAGAATACACACACGCACACACACACACACAGAGAGAGAATGGCAGACACATAGTGACAGCCTCTGGCAGGGAGTGGAAGGGCTCTTTTATATAAACTTAAAAATGACCTTTAATGAACACATAACTAATACACAGAGTTAAGACTTTTAAATTGTCCTTTTTAAAGGGGAAATTTATTTTTCAGGGTTTTATTTACATGTTTCTGGACATCAGTTGCATCAGTTACAAGAACAACAACATGTGGCCAGATCTATTTTTTAGACTATTTACCACATATTTATCATCACCGCTATGATTGTTTTAGCTGTTGGAAGTTCAATATTTTAACAACAAAATATTCAAAATGTAGCATTAGATTTGTGCCAAATTAACAGACGGCACACAAATCAAACTCACAATATTGGCGGCAATTTATGTGTATATTCTGGCATTATTTTTGAGGATTGGATGATGTTTGACGCCAAAACATTTATGTTTTCACAACAGCAGACGTTCTCTTTGAATGGAGCAAACAGCAGCCCCTGAATTACAAAGAGGGCCTATTACAGTACTGCAAGAAACTGGTGCATTGTGGGTTGTTTATAGCTTTAGAGGAAAGGTTTAGATCCTTTCAAGCGTGGCCAAATCTATGGGTATCTTCCAAAATGACTGCCACCGTATGCACAGATTAAACTTTAAAGATGGTTGTTCACAAAACAAAAGAATCTTGAGGAAATGTAATATGTTCAACATAGGCTTTGTAAATGTAAGTTAATAATCAGGAATCCAGCAGGTGCATTTTTATGTCCCGACTAATATGCTCAGTGAGTGATGGAAACACATTTTTACCAAGTAGAGCACGGACACATCGTAATGTCAATGCAACCTTCATTCAAGTTAGCGTTTAGCTCTGTCCTGAGCAGGACTGTGAGAAAGCCCGTGCTGTCAGCAGACGAACCGGTCACTGCGATTACACCGAGCCAGCGTGCCGACTCACAACATAATACGCATCTCATTGTTCCAAATGTTTTCATGGCTGTTTCTCCACGGCTTATTTGGGACCTGCGAGAGAGACTCTGAGACTGATAGGAGGTCGTTAAATTGGTGCATCCCTACTCTTCTGTGTCTCATCTCTATGTTAGCCCGGCACTGGTGTGCACAAAGCACACACCATGTGTCCACATAGGCGGAGTAATGATGCTCTTGACCGTGTCTTGCGCCACACATGGCTGGAACGCCCAGGTCTCACCGGCGGCCCTCTCTATCATTACCTCAGGCTTTTCACAGTTAAGTGCTCCGTTTGGACGGGACGTGGTGTGGAATTTAGCAGCCGACAGAGAACTAGGCTTCTTCACATTTTAAGACTGTGTACTTGTCTGATGTCATGTGTCGCTTGTAATATGTCATTAGGTGATGTCAGCAGGGGTTTTTAAACATACGGGGCCATGCAGTGTGGTTTTATATTTGTTAGAATGAAGACGGTGGAAATTCCAGTTCTTTTTTCAGTGTGTACCGAGCCTCGAGATAACTACATTTGTGGTGTGTAAACAGCTGTGCCTGTGCAGTTTTCCCCCTGAAATATCTGATGTTAGTGGGTGGGATTGGTTTGCCTGCCCTCTGTGTTAGTGATACCGCCGAGGTAGTTGTTTTACAATCTCAGAAAAATGACCACTCTGTGAAAAGCTTCAATCTAAATAGACGAGAAAGGGTCTGACTTTGTAGTCTTAGTTAATTTAACTTTGCTGCACTGTGAAACAAATGTAAGGAAATGTCTCACAATGTCATATGTCTCTCAAACAGCAGATCCCTGAAAAGGACTAAAACAAAAGTAATTCTTCTCAACTCTCCAGTTTTTCTGCGGCTTTCAGGCCCCAGGCACGTAAATCCTTAAAAACCGGTTATGCATTTTACTGTCATTTTTAAAAGAAGCCCGGTACTTTCCTAAAACTACTGGGCATTGTAGTTTTTGCAAATATCACTGAGTCAGGAGTAAATGGTACATATTTTGGGGGGGGGGGGGGCTGTTTTCTAATGCGGATTAATACGTATTTTGTGCTCTATAGTAAATATGTTATGGATTCACTCAATTAACAGCAGTGCCCACGTACACTCACTCGTGGCTCATTGATGTGTTTTTTACATTTTTTTTCTGTTTTGGGACGAACCGAAATTTGTGTCGTCACTCTGATGCCACAGCCACACTACTATGTTTTTTTCTTTTTTTAAAACGCATTAGGTTTCTGTCTAGCGTCCATACGTCTCCGGCGTTTTAGAACCAGGCGGCAACCTGCGGTTCTGCCGAGTGAAGCCAATGCGGAAATGTCTTAAAACGTGCATTCTCTCTGCTGGCCAGGAGGGGGCGACTCCTTCGGCTGCAGAAACAATCAGATTGTATGGAAGTCTATGAGTAAATTACCCTACTTCACTCTTGATTTAAACATTTAAACATACGTCCATAAACCAATGCGTGACGTCACGATGACTACGTCCACTTCTGATATACAGTCTATGTTTATAATCCTAAACGGAGATGTTTGAAAACGCAGTGGAAACCGCTTTAGCAAGCTTTTGTCCGAGCGCTTTATGACAATTCCCGTCTCCAGCGGTGTTATCAGCCCTTACACACCGGCATGCGCATGCCTAGTGTACGTGAATGGTCATGTGGCGTGCGTTTTCAGGCACGGTGGTATGAGCGGAGATCGTTTATCACTACTTGAATCCAAGAAATATCCAACAGAAGATCAGCTGACTACTGAAAACTCTCCCAGCTGCCTCACCCAGTGCAAACATCAGTCTAGCATTCTGGTGATTCATAAATGGGTGAGAGGCTTTGTGGGCAGGAGAGGAGAGGTGTGAGTTTTGATGTGTTTTCTCTTTCATGTGCTTTTTCCTTTCTAGTAAAAGTAGTCTCATAATCTTTCTCCTTTTGTTGATTCCCTTTTGACCTCTTGTCACAGTTAATCCAGTCAGTCAGGTTTACATCGTACTCTTACTTTGTTCTAATCTCCATCCTTATCATTGGTGTTTTTTTATGTTGAGTAAGAGGGTAAACCATGAGTCTGAATGTGGGTCTGGGATTTATTGGTCTGGGATTTATTGACCTGGAATGTCACAACGCAATTAACTATGCAAGAGGCAATGATAACTATGCTTGGCATGCACTTGTGAGGAGGCCCACACCCCCTTCTGTCCTCCATATCTAAAGATCAGAGGGTTGGAAATCGCCCAGTGCACTGGCCGCTAATTCAGATCCAGTTGACTGGGATTGGCTTGCCCCGGAGACACGAGGCAACGCAGGCATTTCAAACATCCAGTTGATCAATTGTCATATCTCCACAAGTGATTTGAATGTCTCCTCGTGGCGTGAAGGCCCCACCACTGTGTACAGACACAGACTACAACATGTAAGTGTCCGTATCACAGTCAGAGCTTGGTTGTGCACAGTAAAACCTGTTTTGCCAGATTCATCGAAATACATGCGTGTCAGCTGCACCTGCAGGCCTGTTTCCCAGCCAGCCACTGTGGTGTTATGAGTCCTCACTCTCTGCAGGTTGTACTTTTGAACTCCTTGTGTGTTATAACAGCTCTGGGTGCCACAAAAAAATATGTGCTTTTATCCAAGTAGCTTGTCGATGCCTCTTTCAGAAACGGATGGTTGAACACAGAAAAAAGCTTTGTTGCTGAGATTGAGAACATGCTTTGGTACACACCTCCAGGCACACAGTTTGTTTAGAATGAAACATCGAGTGTGAGGCGGACTGCTCATCCTGTGACATAGTCTGAGATTGTTTTTATAAGTTGGTGTGAACAAACTACTTCTCATGGGTTTTTTTTTTTTTTGTTTCTTTGCGTGTCCTAGTTCAGCACCGGCTATGTTTACATGCAAGTAATTCACTTCTGACATTTTGCTCAACACATCTGCCCGGGCAGAGATAGTGTGAATGCAAGCTCATCAAATTCCTCACATTGTGGGGGAAAGTCCGGTGGGAGGGAGAGGGGGAGGGGTTTGTTTGAGACAGGGTGAGGATACTTTTTCAGTGTGGAAAATACAAAAGAGAGAGTGTTCCTTAAAGCCTCACTGGAGCAGGGAATATGATATGGGGAGACCTGAGTGGGAGGGGTTGCTCACATGCACACATGATTCCACAAAGGTGTGAGGCTATAAATAGCCAGTAAACAACACGGGGGTGTCCAAAGCCCCGAGGCCCAACATGCTCTGCTCTCCAGCTGTGGAAATGGGATACTGTGACTTCACTGTCAACACTGGAACCAATTCAATTACATGATGACTTCAGTGATGGTGTTGTTTCAGTAACATTGTCGAGGTATTCCAACATTTAAACTTTCAATTTTAAGATGTCATAGCTACATGTGTTTCCCCGCCTCAACAGCGTGAATGTGAAAGTAGGACTCCTCCATTTAAATTCCTTTTCTCCACTTTTCCCTTTTTGTGTAGAATGAATCCCCAGAGTGGAGGAGCATGGCCGATTCCCCCGCGGCGCAATACCCAACAGAAGACGAGGCGTTCTCATGGCCGCGACCCAAAACCGTGCGTCTGCGGCGTACTTCCCACGGGTTCGGCTTTACCCTGCGGCACTTCATCGTGTACCCACCAGAGTCCACCGTGCACTGCTTCCCGGTAAATTTCTAAGGATCGTATTTGCTATTAAACCTGTCTGAAAGCTTTCATGCGTTTCATACACCGGAGCATTGTTTGCTTATCATGTAAGATTACACCGAGTCAATAAAAAGGCCGGCGCCTAAATCCTGTGACCGTGAACAACAAAGTCACTCGAGTGTTTCTGTGTTTGTTACAGGAAGAAGATCACGGCCGCAGAGGTAAGCAGAAAAAAAAAAAAAACCTCGTCCGTTTCTCTTCATGCCCGCCCCTCAGCACCGCTGAGTCAGCATAGTGCCTCTCACTTCTAATGACTCTTAATCCATCCACGCTTTCACTCTTTTTGCTTCCTTATGAATTGAGAACAATGCAGCTCCTGTGTGTCACTGACCTTTGTGAAAGCATGAAAGGTTTGGTCCGCACCACCTGTTTCTGTCCTGCACCGAGCCACCTCTTCGTATTGTGTTGTTCTTGCCACTCTTCCCCCTCACCGTAAAAAAAAAAAAAAAAAAAGGCTGTCAGAAAGAGATGGCCTCAATGGTACTGGGCTGTGTGTGTGTGTGTGTGTTGGATTCTCTGTCCTCTTGTTAGTCTCATACAGACAAGCCTGGCATGCCCAGTACCCCCCCTAGTTAGTGCTTTGTCATTTTTCACTGGACTCGTCCTTCAATCAGAGGATTGCTAGTCCATGTCGATGTGTCTTTGGGCAAAACACTTAACCCCAAATTACTCAGTTAGTTCTGATGGGTACAAGTACAAGTTCATTCATCATTTACAAGCACAGGCGGTAACTATAATATTTTACAGAAACAGCTCCTTTCGTCAGGGCTGTTTAGCTGAAGACAACTCGTTATCTTAAAGCAATTTACATCCAGAGGAAATATGATGGTGATATGTTTTGATTAGTATGTCTGTGGTGTTTAATCTTTACCCGGCTCCTGCTTATTGCCAGAGCATCACAAAATGACTTTTGTCAAGCAAGACTTTGTAAGTGATTTGAAAGTCTGAATTGAGTTTCCAGCCCCGTACGGTCGCCAAAGAAGGAAACTTTCAAATCTGTGTGAGACTCTCCATGAATGAAGCAGAAGATGTACTGAACTCATTCAGGGATTCTCCAACTAGAATGTGTTTCATTCAGATTTCCCCGATAGGAATCATCTTTGATTGAGTTAACTGCGTGTGATCGGTGTTTTATCGCCGAGAGGTGAGCTTGTTTGTGGGCGGAGCTCTGCGTTTAGTCTGTGGCCTTTTGTTTACCGTGAGGAGGTTGCCGTCTCTGGAATTCTATTCATGTGGAAGTCGGTACTTCTATTAGACGTCTATATTCCTCAGTACAAAGAAAAGCACCGCTGTAATTCATCTTGGAACATGTTGAGGAAGCAAACAATTGCACAAGTAATCTCTTTGTTTTCATTAGACGTGAGGAAACCTATTATATACTGTATCCACCCAGCTGTAGATGTGGGTAGAAAGCTGACGCGCGCTTGAATCTGTTTACAGTCCTGCACTAGTGATACTTGTTGCTTCCTGAACGGACTGTATATGATGTATGTACACTGTGAATCGTGGAGATCTGCACAAAAATATCCAGCAAAGACACTAACGGCTTTTTTAAAAGCCACAACCGAGCTTTTTATCTTGATGCTCTAACTAGCAGTCCAAGTACAGCATCTGCCCAAACCCGTGAGATACGATGGTATTGTGGTGTTTGAGTCTGTCACCCACACGCAGAGTTTGATCATTGTTCAAATTTAAACTTCATGTAACCGTTCAGCGGAGCCACCTCCCCTTTTTAAAGCAGTCATGATTTATGTTGCACTCAAACACTTCAGAAGGCCCTGTTGTCTGGAGCTTTGTTGCTTCTGACCGAGTAAGCCGGAGAATATTAAAGAATCCTGGCAGTTGCTTAATGCCGGACACAGGGGCTCATAGGCAGCGAGCCAGAATTGAAAAGGGGAGGGGGGGGGACAACGTGGGATGGTTTTTAGTCCAGACTGGGCTAGCCTGTCTCAGTACCACATCAAAGACATAGCAGTAGGCAGAAATCAAAAAGGAGGGAGGAGAGAGCCGCAGGCTTGTACCTCTCATGCAGTCTTATTTACTCTTGCTTTGCCCATCAATGATGCCATTGTGTTGACCAACTTTTCACACAACTGATTATTTAGAGGGAGTTTTGTTCTGAAGAAGGCAATATGTGCCAAAACATTGATTTATGAATAAAAACATTGCATCAAGTTTATGAGTGTGCCGCTGTTGTCCCTCCACAGGGCGCACCACCATCAATCCTCTGATTGTGTTCGAGTGTCAACAAAGCTCTGTTGTCGCCGCCCTGGGGTCAAGTTTGGGTGCACTTTGTGATCTAATGTTCTCTTGTCAACTCTTCCCTCTTTCACATTGGGAAAAGTTGTCTTTTACTGCAATCACAGTGGCCATTTAGTCTGCATTTAGCTCTAAGTGCTCGTTGAACACAAGGCACTGTTAAGAGTTTATTTTGAAACCGCGAGCTGATTGAAGGCTTTCTTCAGTGTTTAGTTTTTTTTACTCCCAGATCACTCTGTCAATGTATAGTCTTCAATGTTAATGAGCGTGTACACAAGCCAACCGCAGGCCCTTTGGGCAAGTCATGTTTCTACAAACCTCCCTCACTGTATTCCCCAACTGATTTAAATTGTGCAAATGAAACCTGGCAATGTTTTCCTTTGCTTGGACGGGGTTTTAAAGGAACAGTCGCAACATTTTGTGTCTGTACTGAACACACAGGGATGAAATATTAATTGCATCTAAGCTTGGGTAATATAGCGAATAAGTGTAACTGATTAGGTGCCAACAGCATTAGTGAGGTGGTGAGTTTATGTATGATGTCTGTGGTTGGGTGGTAAATAATTAAGTCATTTGTTTTGCTCCTTTTGTACAGTTGCTGCGCGTTAAGTTGATGTTAAAGTAAGTGCAAGTTGATGAATACAAACTTTCAATGCACAAATGTTTGGATCTTCAGATATCCTGTGTCACTATGCATTTAAATATTTACCGTTGGCTCATGGATGGGTTTCTGAACGGCTCCATTGTGGAGTTAGTGGTGCAGTTCTCTAGCATGCCACCAGAGGGCGCATGTCTTGCTGCTGTAGCTTTGTGGGACTCCTGTTGCAGTATTACATAATGTGAGTCCCCCAGGATGTGGTTCTGCATGAGTAATCTTGTGTGTGTAAGAGAGAAAAATGGAGGCAAAGGTGTGTCTGTGAGGTTTACAGATTACTGCTGATTATTATATTATTGATTAATTAACCATTGAGTCTTACTAAGCAACCTGATTGCCCTTATCCTATGGCTTAAACACAAAACATTAAAAAAAATAGCAATATTGTATCTTTAACGGGGCCAAAGGTGTTGTTTCTCATAAATGTGTGTTTCATTTGACACTAAGAATGTTTAACTTCTTTTATTGATCACCTCAGGACTTCTAAGAAGCTACCGTGCCCATTCCCATGTTGGTCTTCCCATCCACTTCAGTTAGTGAGCCATCGTGCACTGACTCACTACCAGAATGTTAACTACTGGTGAAGGCACTCGTTGGCTCTGCCCAGAGCTGTTTCTCACTTTATAAGGAAAGAGTGGGAGTTGTGCAGCTGAGCACGCTGTCACTCTACCTTCTTTCAGTCTCTCTTTCTCTCACCCCCTCGCTCTTTCTTTTCTTTCCTTCATTTTCTTTTTCTGCAGCCATGCAGCTGCTAGGAGACAGGAGCAGCGTGAGCAAACAGGTTCCCTCTCCGTAGCTGCTGTTATCCACCCCACACCATGTCCCCCTTCTGAGATGTTTTTCTTCTTTGAGTCAATTACTGATATCTATTGAAAAAAGATGTTTTAATACGGGGCATGCATTGGTCTGCTCTGCCGTCTGACTCACATGTCTCCAGATCTCATGACAAACCTCCCAGTTTCTCTCTCATTCTCATCCACAGCCATTGTTCTCTCTTCTCGCCTAAATGTCAGCGAACTATTTACCGCTCAGTCTGGCACTCATTAGTAGGTTTTTGTAGTTTGTTGTTTTCACGTTTCAAGTTCAGCTTTCATTTTGTTACCCTTGCAATTGACTTGCTTTTATGTCTTTGCATTACGTGGTTGTTGTGTGACCCGCTTCTTTTCATCAGGGAGGCAGCGGAGTAGGCTTGAACCAATGGACACCATTTTCGTGAAGCAAGTCAAGGAAGGAGGCCCCGGTCACGGAGCTGGGCTTTGCACAGGTAATGACCAATCATCAACCAATCGGTCTCCTTCATTTACCACAACTAGCAGAGATTGATTGGAGGGGGGGGGGGGTAGTACTCAGAAGTCATGACACCACAAGAAGCCATGCATAATCCTGTAACTGATGTCATACAGAGCACAACACTCCCTCTTAAGTAGTTGCACTGATGGTTTAGAGTGTTGTAAGCAAAAAAAAAAAAAAGAAGATTAAAAAAAAAAATGCAAGCTGTGCAGTTTTCAGTGGTGACCTGACAGTGAAGAACAACAGAAGGTGCTCCTTTTTGTGCCTCTTTATTGGGGAGATACACTAGAGATGTCATGCTTTAGTAGGAACCCTCAGCACAGTTACTGCAAACATCAACATCAGGTGAATGATTTTATCTAGATGTAGATTATTTGAGCACTGAATGTACGTATCCTGACTGATAATACTTTGGTTGATGCAATCTGCCCAGTTTATGTTACATCTGTCGTCTTATTTGATGTGATATTTTTGTGTGTGTCTGCTTTTGTTTGTTGTTATTTGTGTTTTTATGTTGTGCTTGTGTGAAACTTTTTACGCTGCCATCTTGGCCTGGACCCCTTTGTAAATGAGATTCACAATCTAAATGTGATTATTCTGGTTAATAAATTAAAAAAACACAATAAAGCTTTTACTACGACCCGCCTCTCTGTTACTGATGTCTTGCTGCTGTTTTTTTAACGCCTATCAGGTGATCGATTAGTGAAGGTGAATGGAGCAAGCATCATTGGGAAAGCCTATTGTGAGGTTATATCCTTGATCCAAGACAGGTGAGCTTTAATATTCATTTGTACGGATGACACTGGTCAGCCGGTGTATCTTCACTGTTGTAAATCTCTTTCTGTTCTCCAACAGTGGGGACTTTCTAGAACTGTGTGTGATGCCAAAAGATGAGGATATACTGCAACTGGTACGTTTCTCGATCCTCTTTTCTTAATGGGGTTCACTTCATGTTATCTTGCTTTTAAAACAAACAAAAAAACAAGCTCAGTTTTGAAAGTGTTTTTTCTTTCATAGCTGCTCTATTTTACAGAGTTCGTGTTGGGACAGTAGTCATGCGATGCTGGAAGCCTGCATATCCCATCAGACCTCCCTATGTAGGCTTCCTAATCAGGCCAGAGCGGCCTCTCTGTAATCTGTCCTCAAACCGCTGCTGACATTACTGCCAAAATGGCCTAATTGAAATATCTAACATACATGTACAGACATATCAAGGAGTAATATACACAGCTCCATCTGTATAGATGATGGAACAAAGGTAAGAGTGCATTTAGCTAAAAAAAAATGTCTTCAAACTGAGGTCTACACAAAACGGGCTTGCATCAAACAGTTGAGTTGTAGAAAAGTTGTTGCGCTCATTACTTAACACACTTAGGCAATATGGATCACTGCCACACTTGCTGAACTACATGCGACAGGCGTAGTGGTTTGTTACCTGAGGCAGAGTAACTACTGTCAAAAGAAGCAACAACTGTTTTCTGTGGTCATGTAGGTGTACAGGTGTGATATTTTGGATGGCTTTCAGAGACATCTAGACGGACTTCCTTTACCGTACCTAATGAAAGTTGGTAATGACTCAGGGTATCTATGGCAGCTTTCACAGAAGCAGATGACACAGTTAGTGTTTGTGAGACATATGAGTAGATTGTAAAGTTTAAGAGAAGTGGAAAACTTCCACAACAGTTTGAAAATAGCTGAAGATTTGCGCATTAAAATATAGAAAGTTAAATTATTAAACTAAAGGCTATAGATTATTCATCAGAGAAAAATATATGGCATAAAAAAAGAATATTACATTTTAGGTGGAAAGTAAATTGTCCAAGTGTAAAAACCCTGGACTGAGATGCTTCGGGATATGAACAACTAAAGTTGAGTCTTCAGTGCAGGAAATTGCTCTTTGAATGTTTTCTATTCTATTCTCTTACATCTTTTAGTCAATAATGTGTTGGTGTGGTGGAATAAAAATGAGGTAATGTAGTTAAATTTAAATTTAGTTAAGTTTATTTAATTGTCATATTGCAAAAGGCAAAATGTCTTTAATCCAGTGAAGCTTCACATGATGTATTTGTCTTTCTTTGCATTAACAATGCTCTGCCAAAAAAACTGTTGGGTATATTTTAATTTCAAATGTGGTTTACATTTCACCCAAATATTTCCAGTGCATAGATGGGCCTTCATACCTTGTGCACGCTTATCATTAACCCTTTATGCATACTGCAGGCAGCTGTTTCGCAGCCACTACGCATTCTGCACATTCGGAGCAAAGCGACGGTGCACTTATCTGTTCCACATCTAAAGCACACAACATTAAGTGCTTCGCCCGGATGCTCAGGAATCTCCTCCCTAGGGCTTATTATGATTATTATTATCTGACTGCCTGTTTATGAATTATGCAACGTTAGAGCTTGGCTGTTTGCTTCACCTGAAATATTCCCTCGTTGATTCTTAATGTCCAGATTGAATCCTCATATTTCACTTGATAGGAAAATGTCAATTAATAATCATGGCGATTGAATGGCATCCAGAATTACAAAATCAATATGTATTGTTGTAACAACCAGTCATCTCTCTCTTTAAGCGCCACATCCTCCTAAAACATATGCAAGCAGTCATTTCACTAAAACATTTTAAACTTGAGGTAAATGCTCTTTATTATTTCGATACAACATTAAAATTAAACTTGTAATGTCACAGAATAATACATTATTGTTCACATCCACTTATCGCTCTTCTGACATTTATTATTAGTGGTATTCTTTCCTCTATGATAACCAACTGACTGTCACTCCGCCCCTCTTCCCCCTTGCTGTCCATTTCCACCTCTCTAACCATCTACACAGACCACTGTGTCGTACCCGTGTGTTGTGAAAACACTGGCCACAGCGTTGCATCATCAATTGCCAGCAGCCACACACGCAAAAAAAAAAAAGGAATCTATTAATGTAAGCAGGCAAACTGATGAGGGCTGTCCATAAGAACAAGAGGATTAGCGGTGATGCTAGCCGGATGACATTACACTGTAGGAGGCAGCGCACACTTACTGCTTGGAGACGGGTGGCAGTTGCTTAGCAAAGAGACGGGAGAGGGTGTACATTCAGGGAGCAGAAAAAGGAGGGAACCGAACGCCAGGAAATCAGAGGGAGAAAAAAAAAAGAGGGAACAGCATGAATGATGAGCTAAAACCAGTAGATAAAATCAGCTGACTGTCCCTGTGTTTAGAACAGGTTGATTCTAAAAGAAAAGGAGAGAGGAGGAGGAGGAAGCAGTGGGAGGGGGAGCTGTACCATCACAGCTGCATGTATAATCAGCAGCTGCTGCTTCTGTCATGTGAGCAATAGCAGAGGGAGGGAGGCGGAGAGAGAGAGACAGAGAGAGACATAGACTGGAGGCACCTTGTTCAGTTAGCGTAATATTCTGGCTGAAGGTGGATAGAACCATGGAGACTTGACAGCATCATGAGAGGCAAGCTTTTGGTCCTGCCGCCTCACCCAGGACAGACTGGCACAGGCGGGTCGTAGCGTGGCAGCCTTGGCTTCTTCGTCTCCCTGTATTGCTGCTGTAGCTCTAGTATATATTTTTAGCGTGTCAAGCACAGTCATTGCTGTGGCTGTTTTTTTAATAATGTGTGCATTTTGCTCTGCTGGCATCTTTTTCTTCCACCCTACCTCCCTTGATTTCTTGACACTCTCGTTTTCACATGCTGTAACGGCAGCCTTTTTCTCTGGAAACCACTAATAAGGTAAGCAAGCAGCAGACTGGACACCCGTTTAGATGTTGACATGATGTGCTTTGCTGTCTCATTTTGCATATGTCATGCATGTCAGCATTGTCATTACATGATGTGGTCTTCAGGTTTTACATTATTGTAAATATTCTTAGTGTTGCCGTGGTTGACTGTCGGCTCTGTGTTGGTGACTCAAACGTGTAGACTGAAGAAATGGCTGATGTACTGTGCCCGCAGTACCTGTTAGATTGAGTACTCGAGTTGGCATCCAGCTGGCATCTCGGTGAAGCCTCGCCCCGTCTTCGTCCTGCATGCCAGATGTCATTAGTGTGATAAAGGCCAGTGACCTCTGAACTCTCTGTTGCACACTCATGCTTACAAAGGGAGGGACAAAAAGCCTGGCACTGATTTGCTGTGGCACAAACATAGCTTTATGTAAGATTGTAATTTGACACCAGGTAGCAGGATCAAAGTCCTCACACCTTTTACACGTCTTTTTGCTTGCTGCATGTACAGTATGTTAGGAGTAGCAGAGAAATGTAGTGAGGCTAACACGCCCGTAGAACGCTGTAGCTTAAATGTGTATTTAATGAGTGGTTTTAGTAGTACATGCAGTGAAATAGTGTAGGCTACCAAACCTTGGATGATAACCAGGCAGGCTAAATATAGCACTATTTCTATGAGGGATGGGCGGCCTGTCTGTCTGAGGTTACAGTCCATCAGTCTGAGGTGGGAAAATTAAGACACTGGTTACCTGTCATCATCTATGTCATTCTTTTACTGTACGTTGTCATGTTTGTTCAAATGTGTTTAGTTTTAGCTCCTCGATTGCCTTATCCTACGTGTATTGATTGTTATGCAACCGTTGCTGAAAATGTCACAATGAAGGCTAACTATTGAATGTAGTACAAATAAACAACATTCCACATTTATCTTAATGTTTCTGCAGTTGTAGTAAATGTTCATTTCTTCCAGAATTATTTTTTTTACGGTTGTTTGGTAGCAACAAACTACTTTTCTCTGGAGAATACAGGCAGCAATACAGGAGAAAGACTGCTGTACCATTAACAAATATTGTTTGAAGTACCATCTCTCTTTTGGAGAGAAACAGTCTCTACATTGGCTTATATAGAGTACTGCAACAGATCTGCAACAATGAACATTTCCATGAGAACTCTAAATAAGGAGCAGATGAAGACCACTGACACCTCTGAACTGCTAACGCCTCCGCTCGCTCTGCAACATGCACTGCCCACACTCATGCATCCAGTTGCATTTGTAATATCACGCTCGACTTCTCTGTAAGCATCTAGTAGCACACTGTTGAATGTTACACACACTTGCCAATGCAGCTTGTATCATATCTATTGTAACATTGCTATGTTGCTCTCTCTCTAGGCCTACTCCCAGGATGCCTACCTCCGTTGCCGCAGCAGCTACAGTGGAAACGCCTGTCACATTCCTGAGCCACCCCCGGTATGCTACCCCAGAGTAGACTGTAAGCCTACGGGCATGGCCCAGGCGACAGACGCGGCAGGGCAGGTCTTCCGTGGGCCAACAGCACCTCCTGATCATGGGTACCGCAAGGAGATCACAGTGCCCCCATCCCCTCCGCCTCCTCAATCATATCCAAAAAGCCAGATGGCAGTGTGCATGCGCAACGACAGCGTGCGGACCGTGGTGGTTCCTCCTGACTCAGCCCAAATGGGGCGCATGGGTCCATCACATAGGATAGATTACATGGACCCTGTCTTTGTCAGAGGAAGGCCTGGGTCACTGGCCCAGTATCCTCACCCTCGGAAGGTCGATGTCTATCCCAGTGGTCCAGGAATGGTCCCATATGGAAGTCAGGCACCTCACTACCCAGGCAACAATCAAAACATTGATTGGCGCACTTACCAAACGTACAGGGAGTACATTGACAACAAAGGAATCCATTCCCATGCTAGTCGGACTATTCAGGAGAGACTGGACAATTTGCGAGCATCCAATCAGACCTCCTTTGGCGCTACTTATCACATTCCCCGGGGAGACTGGGGCCCTAAGGGGATACGACGGAGGAGTACCTCCCATGAACGGTCATACCAAGGACCTCCACCCCACTTTCAGATTACCCCACGCAGTGCTTCGCAGGACCGGTTGAGCGGTGCAGAGCGAATGGGCCAGACCAGGAACTGGCCTCCTCGAAGCGTGTCGCAAGATGGCCTGATGCACAAAGCGCGGGCACACTCCACAGACTATGTTGACCCTGCAGAGCTGGCTCGGCCCAATGAGAGGAGAGGAGGGTACGGAAGGGCAGACCAAGGTACGAGGCCTAGCAGACAGTCTGTCCCCAGACACGCCATGCTCCACAGACCTTCCACTGGATACAGCGGTGGAATGAGGGGGGCACCCAACCCTTCTCTTTACTCTAAAGGACCAGATTCTCTTCAGACCCGCTCCTCGCCCATGCTCTTGGACAGACACTCGCATTACGTAAAGAGCACAAGTGCGGAACATTCTCTTATTGACCAAAGAGTTGCAGTCAAAGGAAAACATGCAACCCACACTATCCAACAAGGCCAGAGCAGGATCCGGGCTGAAATCATGCAGGCTATTGAGGCAAGTAGAGACACAGCATTGGTAGAGCACAGGTCTTCTTCATGCTCCACCCCAAAACACAAGCCTCAGAGGCCTAGCTTCCTCAAACCACCCCATCCAGACTCCCAGGGTCAGGTCAACGGACGAAGCCCCACGGAGAGCGGCGTCATTCTAAGGGATAAAGCCCTCCCTGGAAAGAACCCCAGCCCTTTGCGGCATCACTCCTACATCCTGGCCGTAAACGACGACGGACCGGATTCCACGGCAGATGTAGCGGCATGCTGGCTTCCCAATGATGCGCGTCGAGAGATACGCATGCGCCGCCTTGGGGAACAATGCCACGCATCCTGTTCCAGCAACCTGGACGAGTCTCTGGACTCCATCCCGTTCATCGGTAAGAGAATCATCAGTTGTAAGCCTTTGCCGCCCCAAAGTTGCCATGGCAACGGCAGCAGGCAGTAGTAACGTGAGGCCGACTGGCAGCGCTGATCCTCTAGTTAAAAGGGCTTCCACCGTAGTTGATGGAAAACTGACTGTGGACCCTGCAGACAGCTATAGTTTCACTGTTAATCTGATTCAGAGTGTTAGTGGTTTGTGTATAGACGGTGCCGGGAAGATGTTCACAGATAAACTCATCTTCCTGGGAAGATATTATTAATCAGGTTTTGTGGCGTTCAGTAAGGTTTTGTGGTATATTTGGCGTAACTGGGGCAGAGTGAAGGATGGTCTAAGCCTTTTGGAATATATTGAATTTCTCCTCTTAATATATTGTTTTCTCTCTTCAGGATGGATTGCATTGTGGTTCAGTAGTCCCATAACGTATTTCCTGGTGATTGAATAGTTGTCGTTATCAGTGTTTTGAAAGGAAGCTTTACATTTGTTTTTCTACTGTTTACATGTTTTGCTTTTTGCTGCTTTGTATCAGCTTTTGGAAATGGCATCGAGAACTGTCGAGATGTTCCTCGTATTCAGTCTTGTTTTAGAGAAATGTTAGTAATTATTTCAGCAATGAGAAAGAAATACTTAATCTATAGGATTTCTTAGCATGTTAAGTGGTTTTCCTTGATGAGAATATAGTTTATTGATTGACTGAGTGCAGATGGAGGACCTTTTTGAAATCTCATGTCAGATTGAAAATGTAGACAATATTTTATTTTCAGATATATATAGTCTGTCTCTCAATCTGTCTCTCCATATATTATATGTATTATGTATGTCTGGGTGTCTTTCTGTCTTCTTGTGTTTCTTTGATAACACATCATTTAGTCAAATGGTAAAGTAAGGACTCTGTGAGAGTTGACATGCTGTTATTCACAGTTCATTCTGGCGGTTTGTTTTTAGGTCTCGGTGTAACTTCTGTATGATTCGGCTGCTTCTTCAGGGAAATGACCTGTTCCTGATAGCGAAAAAGAAACAAAAATAGAAAGACTGAAGTCAGCGTATCTCTCGATGGTGGTTTTAACTTAAGTAAACTGTCTCTCATAGCTGATCTACTTTTTTTCCTTTTGGAAGGACATCAAGGAAACGTGATGTACTTTGCAGGTTTACTGTATGGATGAACTAGGTCACAGGCAGCGACAAGTTAGTTTCTGCGTTACAGTTAAATCTTTAGAAGCAGTGCAGTGAAAAATACATCTAGCATTTGGTGCCAAATACTTAAAAATTCCTGCTGCAAAACATCTAAAACTAAGAGTTGTTTCTTAATATTTTGTCTACACCATTGAGTTAGGTAGAGGGGGTCGGCTGGAGGGAGTGTAAATGCTAAGAAACCCACAGTACAGAGTTATCTGGGAGGTCACTACACAAACACTGTTTGGCGTACCAACAGTGTCTCCGCAGTCCCCTTTAGTGGTTCATGATGTCGGTCGGCCAGGTGCAGGTGCAGACAAAGCAAGCAGTGACAGTGATGATGCCACAACACCACCATTCTGGGACCGTTGCCCCAGCCCAGGAGAACAGAGCCCATATTGTGTAAGCTGCTGGGCCTCCATCAATGGCCTGTTTGAAAGGCCACTGGTCCGGGCCTCAGTCATGTGGGGTAATTTGGTCCAATTGCCAAATCCATCTTTTTTCTTTTTAAGCTAATCTACAGGCAGTTCATATATCTCTTAACTTCTTCTATAGATGGTAATGCCAGGTCTCTTTCACTCTATTTTGTAGTGTATCTGGAATTTGGTCCTTACTTGTTCCTTTGAATTCATTTGATAGCGATGCAGTCAAAGTTTGGACACATTTTTTGACACCTATTTTAGTAGCTGCGCGTGAGAGTCTTTTGGAGGAAGACTCTTCGTGATGATAAACAGCTTGGTTGCTAATAAACCTGAGTTCTATTATTTTTTGCTGCATTTGTGCCTCATATTCAGAAGTTAAATCGAGTGTAGTAAAAGAGATTGGTCATCTTACATTTTGGAGAGAGAAGACTTTGAAGTTACTAAATAATAGGCAGAACCTTATGGTAGCCAAGCAGACCTAGTTGGGGAGATGGTGACATCCTTTTTTCCTTTGCCCCGTTGCAAAGTTGGGTACAGGCTGGAACTAGGACAGTTGCTTTTAAATTTAGCTCCAAACGCCCCTCGGCTGCAGAGAGCAGCTTTGTACTCTGAGCGGTTTGAGGCTTGAAGTGCCAGGAGTAGGCGGTAGTACTCAAGTGTTAGGATCTTCCCTTTCCCCTCGAGAAACATGTCAGAAGATGATCTGTTCCGACTCTCCGCTGTGGTGTGGCATGGAAGCCATGGGAGTCGCAGAAGGACCATTTTAAATGTTTCCTAAATCCCACAGATGATCGCTAACAAAGTTTTTTTTTGATATGCAAGATAAATAGTCCGCGATGCTGCATTCTTTCAGTCATAGACATAATGTGGGAATATAGAGCATAAATATATCCAGTTAAATATGTGACAAAAGCTGTATTTCATTGTCTTAGATGAGCCAATCAGCCCAAGTGTCGACCGGAACGCCGCTCCGATTCCACCCTCAGCTGTGATATCTGTTGCACCATCCATGACGACGGGTCTATCCAGTCCGGGCTCACCGTGCCCTCCCATCCGCCGTCAGCTGTCACATGACCAAGGTAAACGGCATTGGGTCGGTCGGGTGATGGATATGTCGGTCGAGGCTCGGCTTTACAGAACAAATGACTCCGATTTTAGGTTGTTTTATTTTTTATCACGGAATTGTCTAAACTAATTCAAATGTATCTTAATTGTCATTGATTGAATTTCTTTCATTCGATTAATCAGCTAATCGCTTTAGCTTTTGACAGTTTGGGTGTAGTGTTAAGTTGCTCTTTAAAGTAATTTATTTAAGCACTTAGAATATCTTTTTGTTATGAATGTGATATATAACCTGGGTTATAAATGACAAATATCATAATTTCTGTATAGAGTCCCTGAGAAGTGCTTTGCTGGAGTCTGATGCAGCCAGCAACACAGAGCGGTCCAAATCTTACGACGAGGGTCTGGATAACTACCAGGAGGAGGGAAGAAGGTGAGCGCATGCCAGGATTGGGTTAATGCTTCAGTTTATCCTCATTGGTATTGGCTCACAGATCTGTCTGACCTGGTCTCTGCCTTGAAATCTGCATTTCTTTTGTTCTTCTTCTTTAGGAGATCTTCCAGTAAGAATATGCCCAGTCTCAGGGGCCTGAGGAAGGTGAGCAACTATAAAACATGCAAGACTTTCCTATGTTGCTACACAACGTCTGATTCAATCAGATTGCCAAATCAACCTTTTAGCAAATATACATGTGGACAAATCTTACTGTAGTTTAAAATATGGAGCTTGTAGGTTAATACATTTAGCTCTTTTTAAATTATTGGTGGTTATTGTCAGACAAGCTTTGATGCTTTCTCATTTTCCCCTCACTGGCTTCCTTTTGGAAGTGTTTTGAGAGACTCAAATGTTTTAGATATCGCTGTGTCCCGGTGATCATGCAACTGTGACATCACCAGTTTGATTTGCCTAGCGATCCCGTTTCATGACATCTTCCTCCCTCCCTTTCCCCCGTTGGTATCTGTCACACTTTACTCTTTGTAAATAATGCCAGAAATAAAAACGTCATGAATTCCCATTTGCAGACTCTGGATGGACATAAATCTTCTGGTGATTCCGGATCTCGAAGGGACTCTTCTTCAGATGTCTTTGCCGATTCTTCCAAAGAAGGGTTGCTCAATTTTAGGCAACTTAGTACAGATAAAAATAAGGTATGCCTGTACACTCCTGCCTTCAACAACCATACATATCACTAATGTTTGGGTGTCTAAGTATTTCTCCTTTTTCTGTCTCTCTTGTCTCCCCATCTCTGTAGCGTGTTGGTGGAGGAATGAGACCTTGGAAACCGATGTACGCTGTTTTACAAGGTCACACTCTAACCCTCTACAAAGACAGGAAGGACGCTCTGTCTCACGCTTCGACGCCGCCCGACGAGGACCCGTTGCGAATCAGCATCAAGGCCTGTCTGATTGACATCTCCTACAGCGACACGAGACGCAAGAATGTGCTGCGACTCACCACCTCGGACTATTGCGAGTATTTGTTCCAGGCGGAAGGGAGGGAAGACATGCTGACTTGGATCAGAGTCATTCAGGAAAACAGTAACCCAGACGAAGAGGTGTGTTTTAGCACGACTCGTATTGTGTAGCCAAATCAAGGTTATTACCAAATGATGATCTCACTTCCAGCTAAAATGATGTCGGAAGGCCTAAAGTTCCAAAATGACCGGGACATCATCAATCCACCCGGTGAAATCTCATCAGGGCAGAGCACAGCACCGGTTGTGGACTGTAGCAGAAAAAGCATGCAGCCAGACTTCATTATAGTTTTGAAAGCAAGCCACACACGGGTTAGGTTAACAACAAAGTGAACCAAAGTCTGTCCCTGAATGAAACACAATGATGGTGTCAGTGAGATGGAGAGGATTAAAGCTTTTATTATAACACCTAACAAAAGCTAAAATAAGGTGTCATTTGGAAACTTGGCAGGTGGCACTTCTAGGGGCGTGTGTGGGAAATGTCAGAGCGAGCCAATCGGTTAGCTGCCTTTCAGCAAGACCTCATTAACTGATGCCTCCTGGCAAGAACTGGTTCCGATATCTGAGATTGAGATCTGGCAGCACGTGATTAGGCAGGGTTGGAAATGTTTTGGGAAAAATAGGGAGAATTAAGTGTACATATTGTGATACTTGCCCAGTAAGACTGCCCCTAGTATCAAGTGATTAACAATTGTTCATTTATATTATAAATCTAAGTTAACCTGCATTTCGCTTTTTTTTTTTTTTTTTTAAGTTCTAACTTTTTTAGTGACTTTATTTCTGCTGTCATTACAGAATGCTGCTGTAACAAGTCAGGACTTGATCAGTCGAAAGATCAAGGAGTACAACATGATGAGGTATTCAGGACTCCACATTGCCCCCTGGGGCTCAACCACAGCACTCCGAACACATATCGACCCATTTTAATTGAATGCCGACCGAATGTTAATATTTGTGTGTTTTTGCCATTCGTCTGGATCAGCACACCCAGCAGCAGGTCTGAACCGTCCCCCAAAAGTTCCCGCCAGTCCCTCAGTATCAAACAAGCCTTCCTGGGAGGTAAAACAGAAGGCAAGAGCCACAGCCCTCATTCCCCCAAAACAGGAGAGGACAGGAGGGCGCTGAGAGGTAAAGACACGTAGCTCCATTCAGTGTGTTTAGAGGGCATGTCTCATCTCAGATGCTCTAGTTTATCATGCATATATTTGTGTGTTGCCCCGTCAGATGACTCCAGCCCACCGCGGGACAGAGCTGCTTGGAAAATTGGCATTGCCGGGATCATGAGGAAGCCCTTTGAAAAAAAGACTCCAGCTGGGGTCACGTTCGGGGTGCGGCTTGATGACTGTCCACCTGCACAAACCAACAGGGTGAGTCTCAATCGCTCTTCGTGTGTTTGAGAGGAACTGCTTCTTCAGTTAAATATTCAGATGACGTTGAAAGCAGGTTGAATCCACACGCATGAAATATTTATGTTGCATCAACGCCGTCAACCAAATCATTCTTGCGAGGGTAGCACACTTGACGGCTGTTGTGGACACTGATGTGTACAAAACGGCACATCAGTGCTCTTCCAAACAGCTTTTGTTCAATGTTCAGATTCAACACAATCAGTGATTCTGACGTCTTCCTGTTACGTGTTGTGCAGTTTGTTCCTCTGATCGTGGAGGTGTGCTGTAAGGTGGTGGAGGAGAGAGGCCTGGAGTACACAGGAATCTACCGAGTGCCGGGCAACAACGCCGCCATCTCCAGCATGCAGGAGGAGCTCAACAGCAAAGGCATGACTGACATCGACGTCGAGGAAGACGTGAGTGACTGACAGTCGGGGTTGCGCAGTACAGTGCGCCTCCTTTACTTTATCTTCTAGCAGTGACAGATCTGTGCTGTAAGCTTTAATGTGACACTCTCCCTGTCGGTCGCTTGTCTGCAGAAATGGCGGGACCTCAATGTCATCAGTAGTTTACTTAAGTCCTTCTTCCGAAAACTTCCAGATCCGCTGTTTACAAACGGTGAGCTGTTGTAAATACGCTGAAATTCATAAATCGTGACCAAAGAATTACAAACTACAACTGGATTATCTGTGTGATCCTCCCTAAGTGAAGGTTTTCCTGCTCTGTTCACAGAAAAGTACGGTGATTTTATTGAAGCCAACAGAACAGAAGAGTCGGTGGAGAGATTAAAGGAGCTCAAGAGGCTGGTGAGTGAAATATTTATTATGAGAAGTGTTCATTTGAATATCGTATCATAAGCGTACAATTAATCCTAAAACTCTGACCCTTTTTTTTTTTTTTTGTTAATTCTTGCAGACACAAGAATTACCCGATCATCACTTTGAAACTCTGAAATTCCTTTGTGCTCACCTCAAGAAGGTTTCTGACAACTGTGAAAAAAACAAGGTACGGCAGTTAACAGGATGTGTCAGTGCTAATGTCATTAGGTAACCCCCCTCCGATCCTTCCTAAATCCACTGCGCCGTTGAGGATTATTTCATTAAACCTCATTTGTCCCAACCTCATCCTCTCAGATGGAGCCTCGTAACCTGGCCATTGTGTTTGGTCCTACGCTGGTCCGGACCTCTGAGGACAACATGGCCAACATGGTCAACCACATGCCGGACCAGTGCAAGATAGTTGAGAACCTGATCCAGCAATACGACTGGTTCTTCACCGACGACGGGGATGAAGACCCCGTTGTATGTGGCAATTCTTTCTTCTTCTTCTTCTGTTATCGGTTTATGAGAGATAAACAATTCTTACCATTGATAACGTAACTTTTATGCTGTTTATTTTATACATAGGGGTATTTAAAGTTGCACCAATCAACATCTTGTATGAGAAATGGCTCCAATGACTATGTTGGTGGAGACCAGAACAGGGTTGATTCAATTAATTCACCTTTTCAGTCAATCAACTAATACGGCGTTGGATTAAACGCAACTCGCGTCTTTTTTGTGGTTTTCTTTTTTTCTCCCATTCATGTGTTGTGTTCAGTCACTTATCCTCTCTCTTCTATTCTTGTTCAAACTGTGTCATTCCCTCCATGTGCGGCCTCAGACCACAGCTGAGCAGGAGAGCACAGTGCAGTCTCAGCCTGTGCCCAATATCGACCACCTGCTCTCCAACATCGGGCGGACCACAGCTTCACCGGGCGAAGTCTCAGGTAAGTCTGAGAGCGTTATCTCTGAGGAGCAGCGCTTACAGCATCACCGCAGCAGAGATATTATCACCGCAGCAATAATGTATTTCATTAATATTGTTCCAGTAGATTCAAGTTTTAAAATATCTGTGCAATAGATCCATTCTAAGATTAAATGTTAAGAGTGTGTCAGTTTTTTAAACAATGAACATCGTGCCTATTGTCCATCATTTTGAATGCTTTGAGCAAAAATAAGTTTTCCAAATTTTATTTGTTTCATTCATTTTTTAATTATTACACTTTGTGTTTTAATCATTTTAAAATACCTTACAGTACGTTGAGTCTGTTTTATTCATTTGTTTTTTAATAGAAGTTTGTTTTGCTGTTGACGTTTTTTTTTTTGCCCAAAGAGATTATATATTTTTGTTCATTTCTTTGCTTTTTTTTCTCCCTGTGCTTTACCTGTGTTGAGACGACGACTCCTTTTCTTTCAGTTCTTTTCTTCCCCTCCTCCTCGTCTCTCACATAATCCCGGCATGTTCTTTCCCAAAGTAAAATCTAACAAACAAAAAAGAAACGATGGAAGTTTTTAACCCTTCTGACCTTTGCCCTTCTGTGTGTAGTGTGTTGTTTCTCTCCCTTATTCCTGTCCAGCACTCACACATAACCCAATCTTGACACAGGCCAAGTGGGCGGCGTCTATCACTCGATGATGTCACTGAAGGACTCTGTTATGTCAGTGATGGACAGCTGGGACTGTAGGAAGAAGGACGAGTGTTGTGCCCAGTGTAGCTGCCTAGTCTGCAGAAACCCGCGGCTCTTTTAAAATTGGGGCGAAAGGAGGAAAAAAGATAAAAAAGAAAGAAAGAGAAGTCGATGTTTGTCATTTTTCCTGTGGTGTGCACGTCTCATATTTTAAACCAATACCCTAAATTGAGGGGATACAGAGCGATGCTGCTGTACTTTCTCTGAAAGCCCTTCTGCTGTCTCTTATTGTCTCTAAAGCTGATCGCAAGGACAAGTAGCATGGTACGGTCAACCTCAGGTTCTCTCCCGGTCATGTGGCATACTCTGTCATGATGTCTGAGGGTGGGGTCGTAGTGGTGGGACTGAGCTGGATGTTCCCCAGCACACATGTGTTTACACTCACACACACACACACACACACACACAACCAACAGAGATGTAGTGACTTGTTGATGCAGAGGCACACATGCAGTCATATGGCAGTGGTCGGGTATTTGCCGCGACAGGTAGTTTTTGTTTTTTTTGTTTCAGGTGCTTCCTCTTGTGTCTTTTTGTTTGATTTGTTGTCTGTGATGTCCTTATTTCAAAATTTTTGTCTCCATGCAGCCACGGACAGATATTGCAACGTACCTCCTCATCTCCTACTGCTACATAAATGCACAACACCGACATCAATCACTAACACGTCCCCCACACGGTCTCCTTTGCTAACCCTGCGCTACACACTGAACACGCACAATTTGAACCTTTCCGTTCCTGTAACCATTCGGCCGAAAAAAAAAAAAAGGGGCCAGTAGTCTGCTTATCCTTGTCAGCTGCAGTTTGCGTGTTTCCTCCTTTTTGCAAAGGGAGACAAAGTTTTGTGAACTCTTTGATTTGCCTTTTTATGTTGTTGAGAGACTGCCAGGTTACATGTTAACGGGCACTGCTGGAGTTAATGTAGCTCGGAGTAAGAACAATCTCTCCGCTATACCAAGGCTTGCCTGTGCCATCTGTATCGACCACGACATACACTCACTGATCCGTTCAGCTCAGGCCCCGTACCTCAGAGCAAACCCATCGCTCCCTCTCGTCTGTGGTGTCTATTGAGTTGGGGAAAGAATGCCTTCAGCTGGTTGGTGGCTACGTGTTGATGCTCTGTGACTGGCGTGTTTGTCCGTGATGTGCCGTCGTTCCATCGATACATGGGCATGAGCTGCTTTTTGTGTCTTGGTTTACCGCTGGGTCCTCACTCCTTCTTCTCACCCCTCATCTCAGAGCTCTTCTGCCGCTTTATCCACATATCCATATACTGCTTTGTGTGGTTACTCGTCCTCCCGTCTCTCTCTCTCTCTCTGAGCCGAAAGTGTGTCGTCTGCTTTCATTCAGCTGCTGTCATTGTCCTCACCGTCTCTGTCACGTTCTCTCTGAACAAACCTTTAATCTGCCCTCTCTCTTTATCTTGTTCACTGTTTTTTAGTAAGTCAGAGCATTGGCAGGCTTTTTCTAATGGCTCTCTTCTCTTTGATACAGATTCAGCATGTAGTGACTCCTCCAAATCAAAGGTAATGTCTTCCTCTTATTTGATTCATTCTCTTTTCTTTGCGTTTTTTTTAATATCCCTGAGTTGTGTTTTGATGAGTCTTGTTTCTCTATCAGCAGGGCTTGTGGGGGTCAGGGAAGGATCAGTGTAGCAAAGAGATGCTGCGCTCCTCCTTCTTCGCCAGCCGCAAACGTAAGAAGCCCAAGGACAAAGCTCACCTGAGCAGTTCAGACGACGACCTGGACGCTGTGTTCCCCAAGAAGGAGCTCGCTGGGGAGAGCCAGCTGCAGCCCATGTGGTCCCCGGACAGCCGGACCGAGGACGAGGGGGAGACGGATGAAACCGGTGAGAGACACAAGCGCAGGAACGGCTCAGAGGAACTGCCTGACAAACCCAAGAGGAAAGAGTCTCTCTCGTGCAGCCTGATATCGCAGCCCTCTCCCTCCCTGCCTCCAGAACACATCTCCTCCACCCTCCAAAGTGGCTCCCCCTACGCCTCGCCCACCCACTCCCCGGACCTCAGCTACCGCATGCCGATGGCTCACCAGTCCTCCCTGTCGGACCCGCCTTCCAACTACGACGACACGGTGTCTGACCTCGGCACGATGAACAGCACCAGCTCCCAGGCGTCGGTGCCCAGAGTGAGGCGAGGCAAGGCGGCGGCACTGGGTCCAGAAGCCTGCCCCAGCGGGCTGGGAGCGGAGGTCTGCTCCATCACCTCCGACTACTCCACCACCTCCTCCATGACGTTCCTGACCGGAGCTGAACTCAGCACCCTCAGTCCCGAGGTGCAGTCCGTGGCGGAGAGCAGGGGCGGAGACGACGCGGACGACGAGAGAAGCGAGCTCGTCAGCGAGGGACGACCGATGGAGACGGACAGTGAGAGCGACCTGTCGGTGTTTACAGTCGGCAAAGCGGAGCAGCGAGAAGCTCCTCGACCCCTCCCTACCCACAGACTTATCGAGTGCGACACCCTCTCCAGGAAGAAAGCTGCTCAACAGAAAACCGTCAGCGAGTCTTCACTGGATGGCGCTTGGTGCGATAAAGATTCCAACAGACTGTCGTGTGTGTTGGGGTCGGTCAAAGTTTGCTCCACGGGCAGCCTCAGCTCCTCGTCCCGCAGCGAATTAGACAAGGCAGAGCCCGCATGGAAGCTCAAGATCACCGACAGACTGAAGGTGCGCCTGCGAACGTCTGTCGACGACATGTTTGGCGTGGGCAGCCAGAGGAGCCGGTCCCCGGAGGGCCGCAGCAAGAAGAAGAACATCCGACGCAGACACACCATGGGCGGTCAGAGGGACTTTGCAGAGCTGTCCGTTTTGGGAGACTGGTCGCAGCATGTTGGCATCGGCTCAGGCTCTCGCTCAGAGCTGTCAGCTGTGGACCAGCTGAAGCCTAAGTGCAGCTCTCAAGACTTTTCCATTAGGGACTGGATTGTCCGTGAGCGCCACCGCACCAGCAATCCCGAGGTCAGCCTGGACCTCTCTGAACAGCAGGAGGGGCTGTGCAGCGCAAGCCCCCAGAACCTCGGAGCGTCGTCCTCTTCTGAACTCCCACACCGCTCCGCCGATGTGTTGAACGGAGATGTCCCCCCGAGTAAAAATCTGAGCCTGTCGGCCACCGCTCACCCTCATAAACTCACTAATTCCCAGGTGGTCCATTCGCGCTTCTACCAGTACCTGTGAGAGGTGTCGGACACGTGTGACTGTGTATGTTCTCCGTCTGTGAGCTGTGTACGTACTCGGGAGTCTCGAGTGTGCAACACTTTTCTGCTTTCTCGTACTTGGGAGTCTGTCAGTTATAATGTCTGTTGGGCGACCAATGTCAGTGAATGAGCATGTTGTACAAAATTGGCTGGAGTGTGTGTGGGTCCGTAACTGGTGTGTGTGTGTGTGTCTGTGTGTGCTTCCGAAAAGAGAATTACTGCACACAGGAATCCTTGATCTTGCTCACGTACAAGGCATGAAAGTAAAATGGTGTTTATACCTTTCTTTTTTTAATTATTTCTCTTTTTTTTTATGACAAATGACTTTGGGACGGCGCAGCAGGAGGATATCTCTCACCCCCGTTATGCGGAAGATTCAGAGGACCTGTCGCTCATGAAACGATGAGCGTGTGAAGTCTGTGCAAGAAAGTGGGAACGGTGACACTCGAGTCGAGATTGTTTTAAAAGTTTAGCGAAGTGGCTTTAAGGATGAACTGACCTAGAAAAGAATAGGAAGTAGTGAGAAGATTTTAGTATTGCAGAGGAACTATTTTTGTGTCAAGAAAGTTACGATGTTCAAAGTCAGTGAGTCTCTCAGTAACCAAATGAAGAATGTACAGACATGCTTGCTGTAATACTGACTAAAAGCTTTAGATGCTTGTGTTTCACTCTAAAGTGTACATACCCCTATTTTTTGGTGTACTCGAATTGTGGTTTTGGTACAGGCTGTGTGTGTGTGTGTGTGTGTGTGTGTGTGTGTGCGTGTGCGTGCGTGCGTGTATGTGAGAACTACCTACGAGCTCTCTGCTGTCAAAGGGGCCTTTCCAAAGGTACAAAGGGGACGAGGAGACACTGGATTTATGCAATTTAAAAAAAAAAAATTAAAAAAAAGGAGTTTGTATTCATCCCAGTTACGTGGTTAAAGAGCAGAGAACAACATCCCTCTAATGCAAATGTCATGCTGTGTTTAAGTGTTTGTGGTTCACACATCTGGCAGTGGCTGACAGTAGATTGCAAAGAGGAATAAAAAGTGTGAAGAGGAAGAAGAAGAAAATGGGTATTCGAATCAGAAGATCATGTTTTTCACAATAGGAAGTGCCTCTCAATGAATTGTTAAGGGTGCCATATTGTCTTTGTTGAGATACACGAAGATGTTACTGTGAATGACATTTTTATTGTGGACTCGGTCATTCTAGAGGTTACATAACAAAATGCCGAGCTTCCATTCCTTAGGCATTCCACTCTGGTCTTAACATGTTTTCTATTTTTTATTTTCCTGTTTTTAATTTTTTTTTTTGTTGATTTTAACAGAACTTGAATTTTAAATGTTTCTTGTAAAAAAAGAAGTAACTTAAATGTAAATATCGATGCCATGTTTTAGCTGCTTTTTTCATTTCCATCAGATTGCAAGATTAAAGTACAGTATTGTGAGATGATGATGATGATGATGATGATGATGATGACGACGCTCATGAGGCCTGTGTGGGTGTTGTGGGCAGTTTGGTACTTCTGTGAGGACAGAGGTCCTCTGCATGAGGAAGCACTTCATTGAGCTGGACCGTTGTAACGATGCTGTGTTCCTCTGAATGTTAGAGGGGTGTGCACAGACTCCTGAAACACTGGAAATAAATTTTGTCAATGGAAAATGGTTATGTGTGTTTATTTTGTTCACATTATAGAAAAGCATCACATCAGTATAAGTATTTGAAAGATTCAAAGTAGCTTTTTTGACACTATTTTATGTTTAAATTTCACTTTGATACAATGTTGTAAAACAGTAAACATTTCATGGGGTTGAATACTTTAGAGGCACTTCAATCTGATGGGACAGATTAATTCCATTCGTGTTGATTGATTATCTTCGGCAGCCTGGATATTAGAATATTTCGTCCAATCCAATTTGTGAAACCTGTGTTTAGACTTCAGTTTGTAGATCTCAAAAGGGACCAGCTGAATTTGAGCCATGTGTGAAATGTTTTTTTTTTTAACACTGAACACTTGTTCTTGTCTGAATTTTTGAACCTTCTAAAAAAACTTGCAATCAAGTTTTTAAAATGGTCCTACCTGGATATTGGTACGATGCGAATTTCAAACAACATACATTGTTAAAATGTCGGCCGCACAGTCTTATCAAATGCATAAAGGATAATCTGCACATAATTTATTACACTCACAATATTCTACTCATTATTTAGGTGGCTAACCAAACAGCAGAACTACAGGATACTAGATGGGTGTTAATGATTATATACAAGCAGATACATTTACAGAGAAGGCTCTTAGAGTACATGACAACAAAATGATTACAGTAGATTATGCTTCATAGAGGAGAGGCCACATCATGAATTACAACTGCCATAATTAACGTTTGGCAGAAGGAATGGGATACAGACAATAAATGGAGACATTGTTATAATATACAAAGTCAGTTCAGGTTAAATGGTGCAAGGGAAGATATAACTGAAAACATGGTGTCAGCTTTCTGTCTGTCATCAGATAATATAATACCTTGACGCTCCTCCGATACAGTAGTTGACGGTGTGCACCTGCAGTTGGTTTGCAATCCGCCAATAAACACACAGATGAAGAAGACTGAACCCAATCAACGCATCATTGCCTACATCCTGAGCTCAATCGTTTTCAGCTCGCGCCTGATGACAACAACTCTTGGTCAATCCCTGAAGACACTCATTGTTGGATTTATTGGTTTTATAAACTCTGAAAACATTGTTGATCAATGCTGGATTACAAAGCTTCTGAAAGGGACACGCGCCGGAGCTTTCACTGGAAAGAGCCGAGGCACTGTGAAGTGAGTCTTTAGACCACATATCCAGAGATATCCTAACAGGAGTCATTAGAGTACTTTGATTTCACATCGTACATTCATTAACAACTGAACACAGCGGGTTCAAGGGAAATCATAGAGAAAAAAATAAACGGCCAAGAGGACAGCAAATGTAAAATGAATCAAAAACAGCTGATAAATGCACTTTACAGGACAGGACAAGACATTATATAATAAAGATTATTTATACACATTCTTATTGTGAATCAACATATAAGTTGTGAGGTCGACATAACCTCACCGATAGTTATATCATTGGTTATAATAACAGGTCAGCTGTAGATTAAAGGACATGTAGTGTGAAGGCATCAAACATTCATTCATACCAATCGAAGATGCGCCTCCATCTATATACAGTATATATACATATACTGTATATATATACTATATACACATGAGTCACAGTATACTGTGCCAAATAAAGTCCTATTATAGCATGTCGAAAATACGCATAAAATAGTCATAGTTTAGCATGTTGAAAAAAGTCATAGTACACTAGCTCACAAAAAATCATATATAGCATTTCAAAAAAACGTTATAAAAATGTAATAAAAAGGGTCAGAAAAGTTATAGCATATCGAAAGATTCCTAAACGGTCACAGTATATCGCCTGTCATAGAAAAGTCATAGTGTAGCAAATAAGTCATATTATGTTTCAGAAAAAGTAATAGTATAGCATGTCCAAAAAAAGTCATTTGAAGTAATTCATTCTAAAGTCTCATTGTAGAGCATGTTGAAATAAGTCATGAAAGAGATATAATATATTGTGTTGTATTGCACCAGAATTGTAAAAGAATACAGCCAACGAAAGATACATTTCAAAATGCTTTATATACAAGTTACACATACAACATAAAGACTTAAACAATATAAGATTTATACACTTTGTACATCAGCTGACTAGAAACCACTGACAATACTAACAGAAGTGACATGGGGAGAGAATCAATCCATTTAAAATACAAGTCAAAGTTATTAACAAAATCATGTAAATTCAGCGTAGTTAACTCACCAGAATGTGAAATAACTATTTGCAAACTAAATACTTTTTCTCAGGAAAACACCATATTTCAAGTTGATGTACAATTATTTTGTATTTAGTTCTTTCCATGTTTTGAGATCAAATGTGCCACAACTTGGGATTTTAACTTACCTCTCAAATAACTGGCCATTACTTGAGGAAAATTAAATCATCTGGTTTCGAGTCCACAGTTCAGACGAGGCCTATCCATATCCACTCGTTTCCAATGTCATGTCGGACCCCAACACCAACATTTCACCCACGGTAAGGCACAGTGACTCCAAGAACAAGAATTCAATTCAGAGATATGACGACGGAAGATACGATTCCATACCATTTCAGGGATCGACACTTTTTGTAGTACAACGCAAGTTAAACATTGTGCCCTTGTTTTGTAAAGCAACTACACGGACTGATGCAGCCAGACATTCACTCAAAGACACAACACTGAACAGAGACATTCTGAGAAAGTAGCAGTAATCATACTCGTGAACAGAATAATCAGTAAATTGGTTGGCAAGGTAATCAGAAACCGGTGGCCTTTCAGAAGTTAAATCTCAAAAGAATGAACTGATCTTCCCGAGGGGTATTTTGTGCCGCAAAGTGCCCAATTAATGTGCCTTGTTTGGAATGGAGACGCATTGATCAGTGGCCGATATATTGATCCTCTATTTGTCCACTAGAGGGAGGACTAGTTCATATATTCCAATAGCAGAGAGAGACGTGACTGTTCACATCTGAGATTTATTTAGACTTTCTGACCAGCAGCCAGCACGAGGTGAGGAGAAGGGCTGTATGCTGGGGTCCCTTGGGCCACATGCAGGTGCTGCGCTTCACAGGGCAGCTCAAATCGGATTGGACAGCAACGTGGTGTGGGTTGATTGGGTAAGAAGGATCTGATGCATATTGTGCTATAGCCGGGGGGCTTGCTCAGAGGAGCGTGTTTAACTGCTGTCCTCGTCTGGCTGCTCTTCTGTCAGTATCTCCGGCACCCGGAAACACACCTCGAAGAAGTTGACCAGGGATTGGCTCAGGTGCTGCTGTATCCCATCACTGTGTAGGAAGTGTCCCTCATCCGGGTAGATCTGTGGATAGATATCCAGGAATGGAATTATATAGAGCTGCACCGCACCTAATAATATTCATTAGCAGTTCATCTTTTGTATTTTTTTTGTTAATTGATGAACCATTTCGTTTATCAAATGTGAGAAAATGCCTGACGATACAAAAATGGCCATATGTACATTAAAACATTATGACTGGAGCTGAAACAATTTATCTAAATTGTAAAAAGTCATAGTATGTCATCAAACTGTCAAACATATGTCACAGTAAAGCAAACCATAAAAATGTCTGTTTAGTTTCTTGTGCGTTTATAGTTTTTATCTTTTAGTTGTCGGTTCCTTTATCATCTTTATCCTTTAGTTCGCCTGCTACCTACCTGCCTCCTTTTTGTAGTCTCAGTTTGTAAGATATTCTTCCATTAAATGCACTATCTGCCTACCTGGTCTGCATTTAGGTGACACTATAGTATGGCATGACAAAATGTTAGTCATAGTATAGCATGCTATAAAAAATTAAATCCTTACTCATAGTATAATATGCCATGAAAAATGTCATGGTTTAGTAGGTAATGAAAAAGTCATACTATAGTATGTCGAAAAATAACTCAATAAAATACATGTGTGGATCAAAGCATTTGCTTTTTTTTGTGTTGTTGATGTTTAAATGTAGGCTATATGTCAGGCAGTTGTTCTATATGGTGGTAATTCTGGAATAATAACCGCCATATTGGCCATAAAAAAAAGTCTAACATAAACCATGGCTGTTTTGCAAACTACACTTACAACTATTTTTGGTTGTTTTAATTTTTCCTCCTTACCAAACTTAAATCTAGAGTCCTTGTTCTGTGCAAACAGGCGATCTTACGTTCACAAATAGGTTCAAATCAAATAATGACAGTTATACGCAGGTATATTTACCAGGTCGAGCGCTTATTTCAGAAACTCACCTGTAGAGTGTAATTGGCCTTCTCGCTGATTAGATGATTGATAAATTTGGCTGTATGCTGGAAGTGAACCTTTTCTGTGATAGTGGAGAATATACAATTGGAGACAACACATTAGCGTGTAATCACAGTGAAATTGCGTTTCACTCACTGCGGTATTGAGACGTAATACAGAAAACACATCTTTTACCGTCAGCAGTCGGGTGAATTATCAAGTACTGCTTCTGCAGAAGCTGACCAGGTCTGTGTGCTAAATTGGCCGTCTGAAGGAAAGAGAGAGGAAAATCCACCTCATATAACGACGCTGGAGTCCATCTCTGTACACTTCAGCTAAACATCTCGGTGTGTGATTTGGAAAAAGAGACGGAAACATTCAAACTTTACCGTATATACTCGTGAGTCTGTCTTTGAGCCGAGGTATCGCTCTGAAAATGCAGATGCTGCCATTTGGAAATAGGGGAAAAAAAGTCAGAAAGATCGGAGCATTTCCTTTGAACACATCCATAGAAGAAAAATATGTGGAAGGGTATACCATATAGCTCGAAATCTGTGATGGGGGAGACTGCTGTTCCACATTTAAGTTGGGGAAACTCCTCAGAGCGCAGAAGCATCGTGGCTAAATATCCTCCATAGGCCTGAACAAAGGCAGAGGAGACACAGAAACGCATAAAGAAGTCTGATTAATTCTACTTCATGATAATGATCTCCATGTGAGGCAGTTGCTGTATCAACACAATTACAATTAATTCTCAAGATCCTTTTTGAGCATGTTCTCCTTACCTTTCCATAAACTCCCATTCGACTGTTATCAATATAAGGAACTTTGGATATAAACCTAAAAATGAAAGAAAAAGAAGTGTTTTAGGGCTGTAACACCACAAATGCCTCCTCGTGCCTACACTTAAAGCAGAAGTCTGACCCGAGTGCCTCCAGCTGGTCCTTCTCCTCTTGTCTTCCCAGTATCCCCTTAACTTTGTGCAGAAGGTTGGTGCCCTGGAAGCCACTGCCGTGGCCATCGAAGCGGATGACAATGGTGCTGAAGCTGCTGACCAGAGCCGTGGCCCAGTCTACCCGGAATTGCTCCGACACCATCTGCCCGCCAGGCGTACCGTCCCTGTACCAAAACCACAGCACATGTTGATCATTTTGAGGACTGACAAATTTCTCAGAGATTAATATTAAATGAGAATCTTGTTAAGAGGAAGGCACATCTTTTAGTTCAGCATTGTTGGAATCACAACTGGACAAAAGAAGGTTTAACATCAAAATGGAACATTTACAAATAAGACCAAAGGAATATTTTACACAGCAGCTGTGAGGAATGATGATGCAGCTTTCCCATACGTCACATTTAATTTATATCACTTTAAAAACGACAGCTCCGAAGCACGTATGTTTCAATTAGTTTCATCCCTAATTCCTCGACTCCTCTCTCCTCGTGCCTCTTCCTTGCCTCATGTGTTGGCATCTCAGGTGGGAGGTACTATGACGCGAGGAGAGAAAGTGAGGAATGGAATCAGGGATATACAAACTGAGAAACGAAAAGAGCCCCGTCTCTTACAGCGCCAAACGTCGGGATTGGTACAGTACAGCCCGCTCACTGGCGTTCGATTCAGTACAAGACAGATGTTGAACAGAAGTACGAAGTTGTTTGAATGAGTGGTTCTTAAGAAAGCTGCAAGCAGCAACACCACACGCCTGGCATGTGGCTCATTACGAACAGGAACAAGCAATGTACTAAGATTATAGCATTCTATTGTGGCGTTAGTTTCTTGAACAAAAATGTTAAACATTTGCCATTTGTAGCTGCTCAAATGCGAGTCGTGGCTGTTCTTCTTCCTTTTTTTTAAATATAATTTTGTACTGAATAGTGAATATCTTGAGGTTTTGGACAACATAAGCAATTTGACAAATTCACCATGAGCCCTGAGGAATAACGACAAATTTCACTATTTTTCAGGGTTTCATAGAGCAAACAATCAAAAACCCATATGAGGGAAGTCAGGATATCCAAACTTTTGAATTCTGAGTCCCCCAAATTTAGGTGAGTGCAATACTGAACTGCTGTAGTATTTAAAACACATATGAAAGTAATTGTTAGTTGCTGCATTTAACTGTTGACAATATTCTATGCACAATTATATACATTCATACTTACACCAGCAGCAGTAGGGGGTAATGGGCTGTATTTACAAATCCAGCTGGCTTCAGAATCTGCATTGTCAGAGCTACGACAGATAGGACAAGGTTAATGGGAATCTTACGATACAAGACGGCTGGCTGTGATGTACACATAGGTAATTGTGTGGTTGATTATTTAACAAGAGCACATACTGTAGTCGTCTATGGTGATGGTCTCGTACTCCACTCTGGGCATCTGCAGATTGTTGTACGTGTTGTTGACCCTTTCGTTTGTCTCCACGTCAAACACCTCTGCAGTGAAGCAGATCAAACAGGCCCTTTGTTAAAATCTCTCAACGACAAATCTGTTCATCATTGGAAACGTGTTCATATCATTCCGTGCAGCTTGTTGAACACGGTGAAGTAGGAGGGCAACGCCGCCCAGGCGACACTCACTCTGTTTGTCTTCGGTGCTATAGATAGCCACACTCGGTATATCTGGACCTACACAGAACAATTCAGGGGAAATCAGTTAACAGGAATGCAATAATAATAATAATAATAAAGGCTCAAAGGCCTCTAATCAAGCCTCTGAAACCCGATCCTTTTCTGCAAAGGAAACATCTCCCTGTCTCGTCTGAAACAGACTTCAGCCAACAACAGCCCTCTTAGTCAGCTCTGCAGTTAATAATCTACTTCTGTCCCATGAGAAAGTAGCTTATTATTTCACAATGGAGCTGCTCCCCAAAGATCCAATTAATGTCGAAAGCCACGGGCACTTTCCCTCTCTGGGGCGAGCCTTCTAAACAAATCCGCCTCCATAGAAACCATGATGTTTTGCCCCTGCGATGAAGCCACAAAGGGCAAAAAAAACCAACAATGACAGAGAGTTGCAGAGGTGCACAATGAATATCTAGTAACAACAAACACAATGCATTTTCATATGACAAATGGTAAAAGCAGAAAGAAAAACGCTCTCTGTGAGCAGCTCAGTAGTGCTCACATGACTCTTGGCGTCCAGTCACACGATACGTTATTTCTGTGGCTAATCAGAGGGATCCAGCAGTGGCTTGAGGTTATCTGCTAATGTCCAGTTTGATAGAAGCTCTCAACCTGACATGGAGCGCTAATTCAGTTTCGCTTTCTACTGAATGCGGCTTTCCGGCTGCCCGTGAAGACGTTCTTTCTCAGGAGTGCCGTCATGTCAAATGCTCTCCACTGCTATAAAGACAGATTTGACTCGAGGTCAAAGACACTCACCTTTACAGTTGAGTAAGTAGTACTGCATGTTGTGGCTGAATGAAACGTCCACATAGCCACACTTGAACTCACAAGACAGGCAGCAGCGGTTGAACGGAGGGATCGTGTCGGCACTGTGGGACAGCAGGGATTGAGTATCATGGTGTACCTTGCAGAAGACACAGAAGTACTCGTAAACGTGTAAGAAAATCCTACCTGTACAAGTGCCGTCGCTTGGGGTCGTCCTCTGTGCTCTGAAAGTATCTGGAAAACATCCAAACATTACCATCAAACTACAGAATAACCACCAATTTGCAGCACCGGCTGTTAAGAAAAAAAAAAAAAAAAAAGCATCAAAATGTCTTACATGAGGTTCCTTTCATGATTGTAGGCCAGGATCCTGGTGACGTCCCAGTCTCCAGAGGTCAAGGACTGAAGTATGTCTGTGCTAGTGTTAGGCTGGAGGAAAGTAAAGGCCCATAAACATTAAACACACTGTACCAAACCGTCAAACTAATATCACAAGGGTAATTCTGCAATTGCTTACCAAAGAGGTGGACATAGAGATGTGGAAAAACTTTCCTTTCCCACCCTGAGGGATTGCTCTGGTGAAGAAGAACTTGTGTCCGTCATGGGAAAAGAGCGGCGCTTCATTCTGCAGAGAGGAGACAAACACATCTGCACACGTCTCTGCCTGCAGGGTTTTATATTTTCCTGTTATTGACTTGCTTAAGCTCAGACATACAAAGTAAGAACTACACGAAACAACAGCAGGGAAGCAGCGTTTTCCTCACGCACCTGTCTGTGCAACCAGCTCTCACTCTCATCCTCATGTTTCTGAAAAAACAAGCATGATTTTAAATACAATTCTGAATCTAAGATAAGTCTGGAGATAACAGTGAGTCAGTTTGTCTCTTTGTCCTTTCCGACATCCTTAACTTGTCTGTGGCATTCAGCCCATTCATTACAGTAGAGATGAAATCTTAAAAGCAAAAGATTTACATTTTGTGAAATACGCTTTCTCGCGAAGAGTTAGATGAGAAGATTAATACCACTCTCACTCTGTTGAATGGTAACACAACCTGCCTGCCAGCGCCTCTAAATCTCACTATTTAACACAGTGTATCTTCTTTGTTCAATCCATACAAAAAAAGAATGTAAAATGTAAAAACAACAATTGGAGGAGGTTATGAGCCGGACTATTTATATACTCTGAATAGGAGTATTTACTAAAAGATTGAACATTTCCTTTTAAAACTAGTATTGAAAATGTACTAACAGAAAATCTAAATCATTTCTTAACACAGCTAAGCTGTGTAGTTTTCAGCAAAGATTACCCAAACTGGACTAAATTGTGTATTTGTTTGGGACTATTTTCTGCTGATTCGGTGAGCTAGTGAGTATTTGCAGCAGCAGAGTTGTTTACGAGGGATTGACTTCAAATAAACTACAGTGCCCATCTTCATAATAATAAGGGAACAAGTCGGTCCACTGCAGTGGCTCATTGCTGTGTTTTTAATAGTGTTTGGACAACAATAGATGTCTGAGGTACAAAGGAATAAGCTATGTCAGGCTTTAGCTGCACAGGCAACACTTGTTAGTAGGTTTAAAATCATTGTTGGTTTTCTGGTCTTTTTCGTGGATTTGTTGACGAAAAACATCACCAGATTTATCCTTCACACAAACTAAACACAGAGCAGATTTCACACTGTCGCAGAAAGATTTGCCGAACATTTCACCTTAATGCAGACTCCAGTTGTAGCCTCACACAGTGTCAGGATAGAGTTGTTCTGGCCTCTGTTCAGCCAGTTGACAGCCACTTTTGTGCTGGTGGCCCATTTCACCATAGTGATGTAATATTCCCTCCTGGAAAACCAGAAAGTGAGAATGCATCACCACAACTGACAACCGCTGTCTGGGTTGCCTTAAGAAAATACTCCAGGGCTATCTCTGGTGATTGTTACTTCAAACATCGCTGAGCTGTCACTCACCCTATCCGGGGGTCATCAGGTTTCTTCATCACCACGGTGTGCAGGGGACCGTTGAGGCTCACCACCGACAGGTGAACTACTGGGTTTTCTTCCCCAGCCTGCGAGGGGCCAAGGAGAAACGAGATAGGTCAGACTGGATTTCAGCTAAAGACGGTGAGAAGTTCGCTTCCTGTTGTCTTCAGAGTTAAACAAGTTATATATCAAAGTCATTTAAACACACTTGGCCTTGTCCTGGAGGAATTTATATAATATTCTGTCTGCTGAATGATCCGGAAGATTTTATAGATAGATAGAAAATCGTTTTTACTGTGCAGCAGACGTTGCCTTTAACCACGTTACATTTGCTCAGCCTAAGGACAGGTGTGAGGTCGTGGCCGTAGACTTGCCTTTGGGTAGCGATACTCCAAGGTGGCAGGGTACGGCATTCCTGTGAAGAAGGGAACTTCCATATTTGGCACCAGTGTGTCATTGATGGTCATGTATGCCAGACGCAGCCCGTCTGGAGACCACCAGTGGGCTATGTGTGTCTGCAGGATCTCCTCTGTAAAAAACAACACACACACACACACACACACACACACACACACACACACACACAC